TACTGGGTCCTGTGAAGCCAAGGAGATGGGGGTAGGGGAGAGGGATAGTGGAAGGAGCAGAGAGGGAGAGTGAGAGTGAGAGCGAGCGAAAGAGATTGAGAGAGGTAGATAGATAGAGAGAGAAAGAGAGAAAGAGAATTCTCAAAGCTTTCAGTGGCAGATGTGTAGAGCCATGTTGCCTGGATCTGGGTGAAATACCCTGGCTGCCTTGGTCCCCCAGCCCTGGCCTGCTGACCCTCTCTGAAATGAGAAGAAGGGGAAGGCAAACAGTTTTCAAGAGTTTTTAAACAAAAAAGATCTCCCAAGGCATGAGTAACAGGCTTCTGATAAGGTTCCTGGGTCCCTGATCCTGTTAAATTCTGTGAACGAACTAAGCAACTGAAAGTATCAATCCACATGGATCCAACCACTCCAGGAGCTTATGTCCTTCTCACCTCAAGTTCAAATGGCTCTCATGCCATATAGCTACCCAAGCCCCTTGCCTTTGGTTGTGTACCTACCTATAGTGGCCACAGAAGAGCAGGGTGATCTTTCCAATGCTGATAGCAAACTCTTCAGATGCTCAATGCTTTCATAGTTATTGCCACACTTTCCTGAGACCTATCCTTAGGAAATAACTTGATAAACTTATTCACTTCCAGGTGGTAGCAACCAATAAGAGCCGCCATGTCCACCCCCATGGAAGATTTAAGCTGATGATTGGGTACTTTAGTGCTAGCTATTAATTCCTAACTTGTGGTTGACTAACCCACACCTTCTTTCCTGAGCCCTGCATATTTTCTATTTTTATCATGCTCCTTGGGGCTCCCAGTACAGGGATCAAGAGATTCCTAGTTGCAGACAGATTCTTTATGTGTTCTTGAGTTAAAGAGTTCTATTGTAAAGGGTAACTTTACAAACAGATAATTATTGGGCACCTGTTGGGGCAAGGCAAAGTTCTAGATGCTAACAGTGAAAAAGACAGCTGAGGGTTCCTGCGTCCACAGGTTTACATGCTCCACTGTCTTTCACCATCCTCGATCAAGGAAATAATAAACAAGTCAACTAATAAGTGAAGAACTATAATTTTCAAAGGTAAGAAGTGCTGTGAAAACAGTACAGTGGGATGAAGCAGAGAGACTTCAGGAGCCAAGTTAGATGTGTTCCTCAGGGAAAGCCCCTCTAAGGAGGTGCCATTTGAGCTAACTGGATGGGAAGGAACCAGCTCTGGAACGTGAGGGAAGAGCATCCCGGCTGAGACAGGAGCCTGGGTAAAGGTGTGCAGTCAGGGGTGGACTTGATGTGTTCAGAAACAGAGGCCTCTGCGGCTAGATGTGCGTGTCCTTGAGAAGAGCAATCTTAGGCAAGAGGTGGGGGCAGGCGGCAGACTGTGGCAACATCCCTAGTTCTTTGGAATTGTTTTATGTTGAAGGGAAGCAGGTAAATGGGCTGGAAACTGGATGGGGGTCATCACGTTCAAGGGAGGAATCTGTTGTGGCGATGAGTTTGTGTGTTTTTTATGAAAGCAGGTTGGATGTTGATAGAGATGATTAGCAGACGTTCCTATGGGAAAACCCACAATCCTGACCGTCCTGCCTTCTGCAGAAGGGCCAGGCAACTGACAAAGACCCCCACTTACTGCTCCTTCATTCCTGCTTGCTGCCTATGCCAGCAGACACTCAGGGAAGACTCTCAACCCCCAATTCGTGCTGACAGCACACCGTGTTGAGCTACAGTAGATATTGGGGTCATCTTGGGGTCCCAGTCCTTCCAGCCTGCTCTCTGCAGAGACTTTCCCAGCTGAATCCCATGATGTCTACATGTCCTTACCAACCTGGTCAATCCCAGGAACTCAAGCCACCCAGTCCCTTTCCCAGATCTCACCCAACACAGCTGTGTACATCCGAACCTGGCTTAGGTCCTGCCCACATCTCCCAACCCTCCAAACCCTTCTACGTCGGCACACTGGAAATCAGTACAGCTCCTACTGCCTCAGTGACTTCCCCGCATGCTTTCTCCTCTCCTAACATAACTGAAGCCCATTGTCTCTGAGGACTCGCCACCCTCTCAGGTGCAGGTTATTTTATCTCCCGCATCCCCTAAACAGTGGGTCTTTGAGGTGAGATGGGGCTGTCTTGTTCCCATTGCTACTTCCACACCAATCTCCTCTCTCCTTCAGAGCCCCTAGCTATTGGGGACCTGGCCCTGACTCACTTCCTCTCCACAGGATGGACTGTCACAATCGGGGTGGCCTCCCAGTGTCTTAGCCCCCTTGACTCCCTCACTTTTCCCAGGCTCCCTCTCCCACAGTCCTACCCCCAGATCCTGCCATTACAAGAAACTGCCCCACCTCAGGAATCTGGATGGCAGGCACCCCACTCTCTGAGCTCCTATCTTTCCGGCTCTCTTATTCTCCAAAAATGCTATGTTCTCATTGAGACCTCCAATCCATTCTTTGACCCCACCATATTCTCCGCTGTCTTTCACCATCCTCGTTCATTATTCTCCTTCTCACCAGTTTAGATTCCATGACCCACCATTATCATTAGTCATCCCTTGCGCACTTAAGTCCACTGCCCCTCTCTCCATCCATTGTACTTGCCTGGCAAAATCCCAACAATGATTAAACCCAATCACTGACTCACTCTGTGCTTGCACCAGACTCCACAAACACTGATGAAGTATGATATACCACGGTGCTGCTCACTGCATGCACGTTAAACTCATGACCACAACACTGCCCAGGCATCCTAACAAAATGTCCTCATATGCTCATTTCTCCACTCCCTACGACTTCCTCATTGTCCTTAAACCTCCATTACTCCCCGCCCAAACTTTCAGCTTGTTTCACACTTCATTAAGACAGAGCTAATAGAAAAAATGGGTAGGAGGCTTGGTGTGGTGGCTCATCCCCGTAATCCCAACACTTTGGGAGGCTGAGGCAGGCAGGTCACCTGAGGTCAGGAGTTCGAGACCAGCCTGGCCAACATGGTGAAACCCCCATCTCTACTAAAAATGCAAAAATTAGCTGAGCATGGTGGCGCATGCCTGAATCCCAGCTACTTGGGAGGCTGAGGCAGAAGAATCACTTGAACCTGGGGAGCAGAGGTTGCAGTGAGCTGAGACGGTATCATTGCACTCCAGCCTGGGTGACAGAGTAAGACTCCATTTAAGAAAAGAAAATGGGTAGGAGGTAGAAATGCCATCCTTTTCCTGCATGCATTTGTACTCACTTTCTTCTTTGCTGCTTGTTACAGTGGATGAAGTGTCCTCACTCATCAAGACCCATTCCTTCACTTGTGTTCTGGAACCTGTTTCCTGCTTCCTCCCTGTGGCTTTTGTTCCTGCAGTCCCCGCCTTGCCCTCTAGTGCTAGAATCATAGTTTGTCCTCTCCACTGGACCATTCAAACATCCCCTATAATCTAAAACAGGGATTAGCAAACTCTGTAAAGGGCCAGATAATAAACATTTCAGGCTTGATGGGCCACATGGTCTCTGTTGATCAGCATTGTGCTGGTAGCAGGAAAGCAGCTTCCGATCATATCTAAATGAATGGGTATGGCTCCGATCCAATAAGACTTTATTTACAAAACAGGTAGCATGAGAATGAATCTGTTCCATGAGCCATAGTTTGCCTAATCAAGAATAGTATACAGCCTCTTACTGGGTTAAACAAAATCATGTGCTCTGTCAATAAAATTATGATGGAAGCTGGGTGCAGTAGCTCACACCTGTAATCCCAGCACTTTGGGAGGCCAAGGTGGCAGATTGCTTGAGCCCAGGACTTGAAGACTAACCTGGGCAACATAGTGAGACCATGCCTCTATAGACAATAAAAAAAAATTAGCCAGGTGTGGTGCCTTGTGCCTGTGGTCCCAGCTACTCAGGAGGCTGAGGTGGGAGGATCACTTGAGCCCAGGAGGTCAAGACTTCAGTGAGCCAGGTAGCTGGCAGGGAGAAAGGTGAGAATGTACGGAGCCCAGGGTGATTTTTGAAGGGAATGGTTACGTTTTTATTTTCTCAGATGTTTTGTGCCTGTCCATGAGTTATTTTAGATATAAATGGCAAAATATAGGAGATAGCCGCATCCTATTTTTATTATTGGCTGTTTAATTTTTTCCATTATTTCTTTTAAAAAACACTTGAGTATTTCTTTCCAAAATCGGTGGAGATTCAACTGTCTCTCGTGGTGATTGTTACACCTGGATTAAGGGTTGGACTCCAGATGAGATCTGTGACTATTGGGTCTCCTGAGATAGGGTGAGGTGTGTGTGTGTGTGTGTGTGTGTGTGTGTGTGTGTGTGTGTGTGTGAGAGAGAGAGAGAGAGTGGGAGAGAGGATGTGTGTACATGTGCAGGGGGTGCTCTGGAAGGCTGAGGAGTTTAGATGAAGGAAGTGAAGGAAGCACTTTTCAGAACCCAAAAAATTGTAATGATGCCTCACATCCAGTTTTCTCACCCAAATAAAACAGCCTTCACTTTTAGTCCATAATAACAGTCTGCATGTAATAGTTAATGCAAGTGTGCCTTTAAAGACATTCTCATATACTCTAGATAGCTCTCTTTTACTTAGTCATTTCAGAGCACAGATTAGAAAGAGCTTCACTGAAGTCCCTTTGGTTGGGTATGTTCTCTGCTTGGTGAAACCACGGCCACTATGAATAGGACCCTGTTTGTTGCCTCTTGTCACTCTCCAATGGTTTCTCCAGGGCTAAGACATTATTGTAGAGAGTTGACATGTCTTCTCTTTTTCTGTGATGTCTCGACCTGCTGAGAGCAATTGGTGCAGGTACCCCAGGGCCTGAGCTAGTCCAGGATCCGTCTCATCTCTAAGTAGTTAACCTGGGGTCCTCTGCCCTCTGCCTTGCAGGGGTAGCCAGCGTCAACACTCTTTCTGCCCTACCGTGCCTGGCCACTGGGATTATAACTGATTTCTCTTCTTTATCTTATCCCTTCTGGAATAACTAAAAGATTTCAAAAAGAATTCAAAACCGAGACACAATAAACACACACAAAAAGTGTGGCACTTACAATTTTAGATTATTAAGATGATTAGATTGTTGAGCCTCTGTGTGGCCAAAGGCCTGTAGAGAGGGCTTTGGAGGGACCACAGCGGGTCAGGAGCCAGAGGGGACAGTTACTCAACCCAGGAGACAGGAGGTCAAACCTAAGGGAGAAGAAAAGCCAAGGATGATGCTAGAAAAAAAGAACAGAAACAGAAGGGAGCCTGGGAGGGGCCCGCACTAAGGAATCCAGAAGCAGATATCAAAATTGGAGCTTGAGTGGGGCTTACGGAGCTAGAAGCAAAACTAAAACATCTCGATCTTTAGCATCTTGCAAAAGGTAAACCTGGCTGGCAGAGTTTTGGGGAGTACAGTGCTTTTCCTTGGCTTCAGGATCCCCCCTTTCCCAACTCCTTTGACCTTCAGACATGGATTGCAGAATCAATGTTCATTGATTATGGTGCTTTTATTGGGACACAGCACAGACATGCACAATTCAGCCAGCTCTCCCCTCACTGTGGTGGTGGCCTCGTCCATTTGGGTTGCTCTAATGAAATGCCTTAAACTGGGTGGCTCATAAACAACGGAAATGTATTTCCCACAGTTCTGGAGACTGCGAAGTCTGAGATCAAGGAACCAGCAGATTTGATGTCTGGTGAGGGCCTGTTTCTGCATCATAGATGGTACTTCATATGGTGGGGGGACAAGGCAGCCTCTTTTATGAGGCTACCCCTTCAGGACCTAATAAAGCCCCAAAGTCCCCACCTTCTTACACCATCACATGTTAAATTTCAACATATTAATGTGAGGGAGACACAAACATTCAGACCATAGCCGGTGGGCAAGGGCTGAATCCCCCTTGCGGCATAGCCCAGGGGATTGAGAACATTTGGAAAGGGAGAACTGGAGTGAACAAGCCATGTTCAAGGGTGAGCGAGTGCCCATAAGCCACAATCCCGGGAGTAGGAGGATGGCAGTGGACAGGCACACAGACAGGTCTTTCTGGTGATGATGTGATACTCAAAGCCATTGGAAGGATGGCCACGTGTTCTGAAAACGATCATCAGGGAGACAAGAGAAAGAACTCTTCCACCCAGACATACCAGATACCTCTTGCCTACCCAATTATGGCCAATATTTAGGGGCCAGGAGTGATGATTCAGAGTCAGGTTTTTTGGTGTTGTTGTTGTTGTTTTTGTTTTGTTTTGTTTTTTGTGGGGGAGAAGTCATGGTGATTTTGAACCTTGGAGGAAAAGAATAAAGCCATTATGGAGAAAGTTGAGTGTATGAGTGGATTATAAGCCTGCAGGGTGGCCTGGTACGGGCTGTCACCCACTTAATTAGAGTAACAGATTGCTCATACCTCAAATATCCTCTGAGTAGGAAAGGAAGGAGCAAAAATGGAATGAGAATAACAATGATGATGATAAAGAATTAGCTGATATCAGATGTTTTCTCCTCGGTTTCTGCTTGCCCAGGTCTGACTGGTGCAGCTTATAATTAGTCTCTGCTTGCAGATATGTGGTTCCAAAGACTTGTGGATTAAAGACAAACTCTAGAATTTCTCAGTACCTGACAAGTTGTAATGTGAAAAGCTACACTTAGTCCATTAAAGATTTTTCACAGTGACATTTGAGTGCAGCTTGAGAAATATGCCACCTTGCCATTTATCATTTTCAGGGCACGGGTATTGGAAAGGAGTTTGCTATGAAGAACAAAACAAAATGGATTGCATGTGTAGAGGTGAGCTGGTGAATACTGATAAATGTACTTCACTGAATGTCAGCAAATGTCACTTGAGAAGCCATTTGCAACTACCATAACAGCCTCCCAAACCCAACAAAGAGTAGCGAGAACGGGTAAAATGAACGGGGCGTCTTGCTTCCACATGAATAAGCAATCAGCCCTCTCAGAAGTTACACCGGAAAGTTGTTAAACTTGATAGAAGAAGGTTTTTCAACCATACTGACGCACAATATAGGTTACTACAGAGGCTGGAGACTTTCTGAGGACGTCAGCGCTGTGACTCTGGGAAGGACTTAATAACCCCTTCTCTTCCAGGTAGGTGCCTTCCTTTAGTACGTGCAGCCACTGGCTGTCTCTGAGACATACTTTCTGGGTTTTTCCTGCTCCAGCTTGCTGCTTTTGCTGTTTCTGCAGACCCCTCTATGCCCCACCCACTCCTAATCTAGCCTCCCTTGCAGTGTAATCCGGGAATGGCTGCAGTTGTGAGCTGGGATGCGGTCCTCACATGCCATATCAAGAGAAGACCCAACGGAAGCACCCTTGAGCCAAGTTTTCAGTCTCTCATTCCAGAAAGAATTTTCAATGTGTCTTCTGGTTAATGTGAAAATTGAAGTAATGGACTCAGCTTCTGGTTCATTCTTGGTGACCTAGCCAAAACTTGCCCTCTGTGTGATTTAGGATTTCTGGAAGGTGGGGCCAAGTGATCTTCAGAATTCAGCTTGGGCTGAGATGTTCCCTTCTTCCTCCTCAGCCTGGTGAGTCTCCAGACTTTGCTGCAGAGAAGTAAATGGGAAAGAAGATCATATTCTCAGAAAAGCACTCCAGGGAATGTGAGACTAATTAAAATAAAATTCCAGCCCCCTCTTCATTTTCTAATCTCTGGGGGCTCCTCGTCCTCTTTAATACATACGAGGTCATCCAATACTTTTTTTCCTCCTTTATACCAAGACAGTTTAACAGGGTAGCCTTAATTTATCTGGCCTTGTAAAGATACCACACACACACACACACACACACACACACACACACACACACCATTGAGGTCAGTTCAGTTTTCATTGGTGCAATGCTGTGGTGTATGGCTCAGACACAAGAAGCCCTTTGTTGAATGTACATCCCAGACTCTGTCCCCGAATGTGCTAATGGACACACTTCCCTCTTCACACTGTTCTGCCGTTATGTTTAGCCTGTGTACATTGGAAATGAACACATCTTACAACCAGGAAAAGATGGGCTCTTGGGAAAGCGAGCTTCCCTCAGATGAACACGGAGGGATGGTGCAGGAAGGAGGGGTTGGAAGCTAGCTTTTCTTCAGCCACACTCCTTGCAGAGTTCTTCATAATTCTGGGTGTTTCCTCCTTATGAATTAGGTGCTTCCCATGGAAGGGACTTTACTTGGGTCTCGGGAACTCACAAGCCATCTGCTTATTATTGAAATTGAATTGCCTTCAACTTGTTGACTTTTATATCAACAAGGATCCATAATATAGGCTGGCTATACTTTACTCAGTTAAGGCATTTCCTGAAGAGCAAATCTCTGCTGTGTCCCAGTGTGGATTTCATGTCCCAGACCCCAAAACCTACTAAAGCATAAAAGCATGTTCCAAAGAAAAGACAATATGGGTGCAGATTTCTCATTGTGCCAGTATTCTTTATTTTCCTAGTTGCTGTAATTTTAAAATTTGTATCTTAAAGCTCAAGCTAATAAGCATCTGTTCCCTGGAGTGAAAAGAAACTGTTCATAATTGATTAATATCACAGGAATCCTGTAATTGCTGGAGGCTAGAGCTATGTAAAAACCTACCTTCTTATTGTTTTGTCTTTAAAGAACTAAAACAAAAGCCTTGTCTATAGACAAGGGTAGCCAATATTGTCTCTGTCTTTCAGTGAGAAAAAGCAAAGCTGGTTTGGGTGAGCTACTTTACCCACTAATTAGTGGCAGTAGCAGGTTTCCTTGTTTTTAATCCAGCGGCTGTTTACAGTGGACTCTTCTCTGCTCTATGAATAAAAACCTAACAAGCCCCCTTTAACCATTTTGCATTCTGGGATGTTTCAAACAAAATGTTAAATTGTTACCACAAGAGGAAGATTTGTTAAAAATACAAAACTCCTTAGAATTGCAGTAATCCCCTCACTCTTGTAAGAATGTAAACAGGACATCAGTTTAGGGGACATTTGCCCATGGAAAAGTCTCCTCTGAGCAAGAAACTTCACCCACTGCAGGGTAGCAAGGAGCATCATTTAATTGGCTCCAGACATTCCCAATCTCAAACTGAGCTCCCCTGTCCTTGAAAGGCTGGAAAGATACAATAGTAAAAAGGGAGACAAATAAGCAAATTTCAGGTTAACTCTGCAGGCAGGCCATCCTAATGAGAAATGGTCAGAGGAATTTATTATCAGACTTCCACATAACTTCACTCACGTATTCATTCGTTCAAGTAGGCACTTTTAAATGCCTGTGTCAGACCTGACATAATGTCTTACCTGTATAGCAATTTTACTTAAAAGTCATACTTCTTGCCATCTGGAATCACATTCAATCTTTATGGCTCAGCTCAAACTCCATCTCTTCCAGGAAGCCTGCTAAGATTTCTCCCATGCTTCCCTGTGTGCTCCCAACCAAGGACACCCATAAAACAGCATTGTTCTGTGCTGTCCTGAACTGGGTACATCTTTCTCCCCAACAAGTGTTAGTTCCCTGAAAAAAGGGTCTCGATCTTATCTCTGCATCGTTGAGATAGTCTTTCCTAATCTGCTCTTTAAAATGAGACTTAAGGCAGTGAAAGCTGGGTTGTCTCTCACTCACATTGAGATCTAAACCACTTTGGTGTGAATATATGGGAAGCAGCCTTCTCCTCCTTGGCTACTGACAGTGTCTGGATTTGGCATTCAATGAAGGTTGTACCAATGATATAGGCTGGGGAAAAAGTGGATGGGTCCATCAGGATAATCTGGGTGCCATGCAGGCAACATCAGACTGGTTAATTTGGAGGAAGAGGCGCTGAATTATCCAACCAATGGTGTAGATGCAGCCTTTGCTGGCAAAGCTCTTTCCCCCACCTCTGTATCAAATATGCTTCAGAGATTTGGGAGTTGACACTGCATCCAGATATAGTGGGATAGAAATGGAGAACATTCACATTTTGTTCTACAGTTGCCAGCCTTGAGGCATCCCGGCTTCTTTCTTACTGCATTAACTTATACTATTTCCCAGTGGAAAAGGTTTGCTGTAGGAATTATTATAATTTCCCTCTCTTATTTCTGCCCAGCTAGTCACAGGGGAAAGAATACCTAGCCTTACCAACCCCACACAGCCAATTTTGCTACTGAAATATAAGATTTTGCATGAGATCTGCATATGTTAATGACTTTTGATGAAGAGATTTTCTTTTTTAAATCAGAGATTCAGAATTCCTTTCCTTCCTTGTGATACCTATTATTTTCATGTGGCCCTTTCAGGGAAGAATTTTTCTTAAAAAAATTTCAATCTTTTAACACAAAGAGTCCCCTAGGCAGGCAGAATACATCCTGTCAGAGCCAAGTGTCAGGCCAGAAGAACCTGTGCTTTGAGTCACTTGACAGATACACAGAGTTTAACAAGTTCTACTTTTTCCCTTAAAAATACACAAAACTCACTTAATGTAATTCATAATAACCCTTTCTTACCATTTCAAATATTTTCAGTTCCTTAAAATTTGTTTCCCTGCACAATTAGGGGGAAAATTTTGCTTCCGTTTTAAGAAGAAAAATATATTTAAAGTTTCTAAAAGTAAGGATGGCTGAAACGTTTCCCCTCTTGAACTGTCATTCAGAAAAAATATATTTCTATATTCATTTACTTCTGATGTGAGAACAGAAATACCACCTTTGCTCAAAGAAAGTTTTTTGAAATGATACAAATCGATGTGTGCTTGTTTCTAGAATTGATACCCATGTATTCACTGTAGCGGTGGGAATTCCTGCTAGGGGAATCCACATTTCGAGAAGTACTCCCGCCTTGGGAGCATTTAAGGAAATTTTAATATCCAAACAAAAGCAGTATTATCATCACTACCCACTCCCTCCCTTCGAGGAAAAACAATTAATAATTTGCATATGTTCATAACACAAATTATAAGACAAAGGGCCCCTCACAGGCTGTGGGCAATACACAGCCTTCCACAGGCTGCACAGTCCCAGAGCTGAACTGTTCTAGCTTCCGAATGAATAGCATTAAGCAGCACCACTAAAGCGAGGGGTTCTGGGCCCTCTGGCCCATTCCCACTGTAGAATCGAGTGTCTTCAATCAGAAACATCTCCCAATCTTTCCGTAAGCTTTGGGGGGGGGGGGGGGGCGTGGGGGGAAGAACATATAAGGCCAAATGGGGAAAAAGACATATACTCTATACTCTTCTTTTTTTAATAGCCAAACATTGTAATGCTAGCTAAACAGAAATTCTTGTCTGTTAATAGGTTCCTTTAGTTTGTAATAAATAGGAATGCTAATGACTAAAATTTGGTATTTGGTATGCACAAGCTTTTGTGAGCTTTTTTTTACACTCCTCATTGACATGCAATATGGCAAGCTTCCTTTGAAATATATTTATAAAATAACTACAGTATAATTAAACCAACAAAGCCATCTTTTAAGTAAGCTTAATAGCTCAGGTTTTTTTTTTTTTTTCACTTCGGTTAAAATTTATTTTAAAAAAGAAAAATAGTTATGTCTCAGTCCCACTGTATATTTTATTCTGTGCATCTAATATTTCCTTTGCATCTACAATCTATGCATATCTAATTCTTTTTGACAACTATGATTATTAATAAAGTACTTGTGAAAGATATGCTTCATAGCTTCTTCAACAAGAATAATGTTTTTTTGTTAATGGAAATTGTAACATATCTTGACAGATACAATATATAAGATGTGCTTTTTTCTTAATTGTTAATATTGCTGTGCTGAATACACAAGGAGTAGATCAACAGCGATGGCAGGTAATAATCAGAGTGGATGCCATTTCATACAATGTAACTAAAAATATTTTAATGATATGAAAGCAATAGATAAATAAAAGCAATTATGTTTAATTTTGCTTTTGGTATGCCGGCAATTTTTGGTTGTTGCTGCTGTTGCCAGTGCGCTTAGAAGAGGAGGAAGCTCGAAGCGCAAAGCAGCCGGACCGAGGCAGCTCTGCCTTCTTGCAGCCCAAGGGTCCTGCAAGCCGCCCTTTCTCTACTCTCCGCAGCTTCAGCGATCCAGGCGCGCAAGGCCCGGCTGAATGCTAATTTGGGATACACAGGAGCTCAAGTTCACCAAGTTTTCCGCAGTTTTGCAAATCCTTTTCCTCCTCGCCCTGCCTGGCGGTTTAAGACCACGCCATTTCCCAGAAAGAAAAACTCAAAAGATCCCAGGCGCCGGGCTGAAGTCACTTAGAGTCGACTCTGGCTGCTCCTCCGCCTCCCCATCCCTGGTCGCTGCTCGGCTCTGCCCCTCGCGCCTCGCCCCCTTCTCCCGAAACTCCGTCCTCTCCGCGGAGGGGCTGCCTTGCCCCCAGCCCACCCTCCGCGTGGAGAATAAACACAATTGACATCACTCTTACAATCTTTATTTAAAACTGTTTCCAAGGTTACAAATTGCCGAGCCTCGAAGCAACAGGTTCCTCCGAAGCGGTATCATTACAGATTAACTGTAATGTGTAGGATTAGAATAAAAGCATAAGGGATTAGGTAAAAGGGCGACGCTTGAGACAGAACGCCCGAGCGCATCTCGACTGAGTCAGCCGGGGGAGACTGCGAAGGCGCAGGGTGTCGTGGTGCCGCGGCGCCGCCAAGCCAGACTCGGTTCCTCCGCTCCCGGCCCCGGAGCGGTCAGGACGTCGGCGCCGGAAGGGCCAATGAGGCCGACGGTTTTGGAGCCAGGCTTCCCGGACGCCAGGGGCTAGGGACGGGGCCCGGGAACTGAGGAAGATGAGGGGCCGAGAGGTCGTGGAGGCGGAGGGCGCGGGCGAGGAAGGCCCAGCTGGGAGCTGCGGGAGGCGCCGCGCCGGGGACGCGGTCTCCGGCGGTGCGAAGCTCGGGGAAGGCGGCGAGGGGGCCCGCACACTCGCACCAGGCACCGGGTTTGTCCTTGCGGCTGACGCTGCCTTCAAGGCCCAGGCCTGATGGGGCCCTTCCTGGCGTCCTCCTCACCCCCACTCCGCCGCGCCTCCCCTGTCCGGCTGGGGCTGGGGGCCGGGGACCGCGGCAGGGCACGGGCAGCAGCGCAGGCCGCCCGCATCCTTCCGAGCCCAGGCTTCGGGCCTTCGCAGCCCGCCCAGGCCGTGCGCCCTATTGGGCCACCTTCCCACCGGCATTCGCCTGCCCCTCTCGCGCCAGGAAGGCCCTGGAGCTCCCTCTCCCCTCACACCACTTCCTGCGGGGCCAGGGCTGGCCGTGCTGCCCCATTTGGACTCAGGCCTGCCCTGGGCCACGGCCTCGGGCCGCTGACGCAGCCCCGAGGGCTGTTTGCGTGTCGGGGTGGAGGGCGCGGGGCTGGAAAAACAAACAGGGCCGGGGCGCGGAGCCTCGGGTGGGGCAACGGGGGGGCTGGAAGGAAGTGCGCAGTGTGGCCAGAGCGCGAACAAAGCCCTCTCGGGAGCCCCGTCACCCCTCGGTGACCCCAGGCCCGCCCTGCTGAGCCGCGGGGCTCCCGGGCCTCGCCTCCGAGCAGGCCGCACCGCTCTGCGGGCGCACGCCAGGCCTCCGCGGCCGCCCGGGCCGGTGCTCCCCCGCGTCCCCGCCGGCCGAGCCCGCGGCCCGCCCCGATGGCGCGAGGGACAGCGAGGCTGGCAGTGGAGCCTCATTCAGCCACGGAGCCCACAGAGAGAGGCTGAGGAGGACTCCAGGCTGCTGTCCGTCAGGAAACCGGGCGACTCTGGGGAGCACTGGAGCCACAACTCTGCCAGCGGCCGGGGAGGGGCTGAGAGGACTTCCAAGTGGACGGAAGTGGGCGACCAACTTCGCCGCGACGCCTGCTTCCTACAGAAGGGCCTTTGCTGAGGCGGCGGGAGGGGACTGTTGCAAACAGCTGTTCCTCATACATATTTCATTACACAATCAGATAATGCGTCCCACCACCTTCTCAATTATTCACAGATAAACATTTTCAAGACGTTTTGACATCTGTCTTAGTGCCTGCTATTAATTTAGTAATCACTGTAGTTAAAAATGTATGGGATTTTTGCCGTCGGAGCACCTCCTATCCGGCGCGCGGGCCCAGTGTGGGACTGCGGCTGGGAGCCCGGGCCCTCCGGAAGTGAAGACACCTTTGGAGGTGAGACGGCCTCTCTAGCGCGTTGACACTGTTGATGGAAGGGATTAAAGGGGTATCGGGTTATTTTAATTTATTGTTGAAGATGATGACTGTCCCCTCCCCCACCCGCATAACCTCCTCACTTTCCCACCCCAGCCGTGGACCCGACAACACCTTTCAGCCCTTTGCCCCGGGCAGCGGAAATGGTTAGCTTCGTCTAGGAGTTTCTGCTCAGGAAGACGCAGGCAACCCTAGTCGGCGTAGAGAGAGAACCGCACGCAATCACTGAGCACGAGTTCTCGCAACAAAAATACTAGCAGTAACAGCGATCCACACACTCAAGAGGTCTCCAGCCTCCGAAGTTTTGCCCTGAGCCTGTGGCCCTGGCAGAGGTGACAAGGGCATTTGGGAAAGACAGAAATAAATTCGCTCCAGTGACTGTACACGGGGCATTTGGGGCTATGAGAAAGCGAGCTGCTTTTCTGCTTGAGTGGTAAATGTTGCAACGGGCATAGCTATGTGGACGCAAACCGTTTTTAAAACCAAAGAAGCAGAGTTGGAAGAACCTTGTATGGTTGAAAATAATATCAAACATTTCCAACTTCAAAATGCTGGGATGAATTATTGGGAAAGCTCTAGATAAATGACCAAAACAGAGGGAAAATACTCAAAGGTAAACGAGTTTGGTTTTTTGTGCTCTGAATCTCAGCTACCGGGAATGAAAGTTACACTTTGAGTTTGAGAGTGATGTCTATTTATTTCTCTTCCTTTCTGTCGCAGTCTCTTTCCCAGGTGAGTTAGCAGGTGGACTTTGATTTTTAAAACTATCTCATTTGGGAACGAGGAAAAACAAATCTGGTGAAAGAAAATGTCCCTGGAAGAAACTGCCCTTCCAACGAAGATTAAGTGACTCCAAAGTGATTTTCACTCTTTATTGTTCAAAACGTCCACAAGAACAAACTCGCTAAAATTTCCAGGAATTAACTGTATCTAAAAAAGAAAAGGACATAGTGTTTGCCCCCAAAAGAGAAGAAATTCTTTCCAACTCACACCCCCATACTCTTCTGTTTCTAGGGCAACTACATCTGCAAAAACATGTCCTCCTGTGGCGTTTTCCGGGTGGTTCATTTCTTCTTCACAAAATGGACCCTCCTCTGCCCCTTGGAGGGTGGTCATCCGACTTGCTGGCCCAGAAAGTCCTTTTTTCCTCCTTCTTTGTCTAGATGAATCTTCTCGGACTTACACTCCACTTTTAGATGAGAGAGGGAGGCTCAGAAGATGTGCTCAAAAGAGAGAAAGTTGGGAAGGGAGGTGAAGTGGAAGGGAGAGCACCCCTGCTCTAGGGAGCCTGCCTCTTCTACAGGAAACCTGGAGGTAGCCACTAGAACTGGTTAGGCAGAGGGAGCTCACACTAAAGTCAAGCCTGCCTAGAGTAGTTTCTGAGGACTCGCCCAAGAGCCCCTCTGGAAACCCCTCTCTGCAACCCTCCAGCTCCACTGGGAAAACGTGCTCAGCCACAGACAGGGGAACTGGGGGTGAGAACTTCCCAATATATCACACACACACAAAAATGTAAATAAACTGTGTAATTTGGTTTACTTTGAAGTGCGTTCTTTTGTAAACGTATTTGACTTACAGGATATTGGGATGGAGATGGGGGCAGGAGGATGAGCATCCTTTTGAATGATCAAGTTTAGGATAAGAAGGGTGCAAGGGGCAAAATAAGGGCCCTCCACCTTCCCAGGCCACGGTTAGAGCTAAATGTTCCCATAAAGAATTCATAATTCTTTATGGGAACTACTGAATCTCCCAGTAGTGAGTGAGAACTTGTATGCACTCCACCCAAATCCTCCTTCAGAATGCAATCCCCTAAGTCAAAAATCATAAGAAGTAAACAATAAAAACAATCTCGATCAAAATGAATCATTCCCGGATGGCCCTTTTCTGGGTATCTCCAACAGAACTGAGAGGAAGGCAAAAAGTTTGCCTCTGGGTGGATGAGGCCTTGGTTCTTTCTAGTGGCCAAGACTTGACCTGAAACCTTTCATTCACCCAGTCGGCTCAACCAAGTTTCTCCTTCTGAGCCAACGTCCCTCTAGCAGGAAGCCCCCTTGGCCTTGAGGCCGGGTCCTCATTCGACGGGCTCTCCCCGGTCGCGGCTTCCTATCTATCTGCCCATGTGGTTGGGGTCACTTCTCGCGGGCACTGTGACTTTCGTCTGCGTCTGGACAACTGAATGTGCACCCGTGCGTTCAAATAATTATGTCCGTGGACACTTTATTCCTCAAATTCCTCTGTTAGTGTTCCTTTAATTCTCCCGTATGTATTCGAGAACGATTGCCTGTACGTTCCATGCATAGTCAGGTGACTCAGCTTGAGTCTGAGCTCAAATGTGCGCGACCCCCTGGATCTGCATGGGGAGGAGGAGAAGGTGTGCACGTGCAAACGCGGGACTTTGGGTGGAGTGTGAGGTTGATATGGCTTTCGGCCCCAGGGCGCTCTAGGCCTCTTTGAAATACCTTCATCAGCCCAATTTCTTAATCTTTCCGGACAAGGAGCGGGACCCTCCGCGATCCTGCGCCCCACCATTCTTTGGGAAAGATAGGACCATCCTCTAGGACCTCTCCTGGTGAACTGTGGCCAGGCTGGGCTGAATGGGCGGTCGGAGGTTTTGATGTCGCCTCCTGGCTCTCGACTGCACCCATCACCCAAGACACCTCGAGGTTGAACGCGCCCTGGGGCTCTGTCCGGGGAGGTCGTGGCGTCTCGGGGCGAGTGGTATGCACGTTTTGGGGCAAAACTCTCCTAGGCCTCCCAGGAGCAGCTGTCTTTGTAACTTGGAATTGGCCTGGGCCCGCCTCCCTTGGCCCCTCCTCCAGCCCCTACGGCAACTCGCAGCGCTCAGCGGGCCCCCAGAGCTCGCGTCCTGTACCACACTGGGGCCTCGTCATCCTTCAGGGTCCCTGGGGCATCGTAGGGGCCTGAACCTGGAAGAATGGGGGCCAACAAGACTGGCCAAAAATTTCCTGGGGCGGTTTTGCGATGTATTCCTCAGCCACAATTAGCGTTTCGGTCCCGCGCGCCTACCTGTTTCAGAGGCCAGCGGGAACGCTGGCCTCAGGTCTGTGGGGGTGAGGCTTGTGGTGTGTGTGCACGTGTTCGCGTGCGACTGGAAGCGTTTACTTGTGCATTCCTAGAATCTTGTAGATGTGTTTTCTCGTTAGAATGATGCGGACTTGCTGCTAACTTCAGGTCAGTTTGTTTGGAAAGGGAGAATGTCAGTCCGACGGTCGGTGGTTGCGTCTTTCCTGAGCATTCTCACAAAGTGAAGCCGCCTCCCCTCCCCCGTGCACTCTCCCAGACTGGTTCAAAGGACCCAGGCCCCAGGTCCCCGAGGCCTGGAGGGCTGAGGCCCTGGTTGTGAGCCCTGGTGCTCTGATTCTAAGGCCCAAGCTGCCCCGATGCCCACTAAGGGTCAGGTTGGAAAACCTACGTAGGAAAGAGGGACCTGGAGAGCTACCCCCACATCCATGGCAGGGTGGAGTCCCGACCTTGGCATATTGTACCTACCCACTTGGCATCTTCCTGCCGACCCTGTCTGGGATCCGTATTGGCAGTGACGGGGGAGGGAGGAATGGTGAGGGAGTTGGGTCTGTCTGTATAGGACGGAAGTGAAGATGGAAAGAGAAGAAAAGAAACAAAACTGGCTAGGGACAAGGAGATGGGTGAGGCTGGGGTTACGATGGAATTGAAGCTGCCTCGGAGAGCAGCGGCTTTTCACCCTGCTATAGGGAGGTGCGTTTGGCTGCGCTGTTCTCCCCCCCCAACTCCCGCCAAATAAAGCTAATGATGTAGTAATTTAGGAGGGGGAGAGGGGCTGGGCAAAAGGAGAGAGGGGAGAGGATGGGGAAACGTGCGCCCCAAGAGCGAAAGCAAACAGCTGTCGAGGCGCTGCCCGCTGCTCAGGCTTCCCAACAGGTTAGCTATACTGGGATCCACCCGGCATTTCGCAGGAAGGGGGGGGGCAGACAGAGCGAGGGGGAGAGAGTCTCACTAGAGGACAGAGGGAGGGAGGGAAAGAGAGATAGGAGCCAGAGAGCGCACTGCGCGGCTTAAAAGGAGAGACTTACTAATGAATATTTATCCGCCGCTGCTTCGTGCTCCCGGCTTCCCTTACCTTTCCGCAGGTAAGATCCTCCCCGTGCCCCAGCCCCGGGGACCCTCCTAGCTCCCCAGTCGGGGAGCCAGTGGCTGCGCGGGAGGGCTCTCGGTAGGTGGGGGTGGGAGGGCGGCTCTACTGTGCATTCACTTTGGGTGCCCGGGCATGCGACCCTGCACGACTAGGAACGGCGTGCGTGGGCTCCCTGTGTGGAATGAGTGTGAGCATGTAAGAGTGTGTTTGTGTGTGTGTGTGAGAAAGAGACAGAGAGACTATGCACCGCAAGCGCGCGCGCGTTTCTGGCGTGCTCTGGGAACATTTTCCGACTTTTCACTCGGACGCCCTGGATTTCTCCCCTTTGCCTTTCTCTGTTTCCCCTCCCCCTTCTCTCGCCCTCCCCTCCCCCACCCCGGTCTACCCCACCCTACCCCACTCCTACCCCGGCTGCTAAGGCGCTCTTCTGCCGGCTATTGTACGGCTGGCGCGGGCTCCCTCGGGCCGCATCCCGGGCCTCTCATAAAAGATGAATAGTTCTGTTTCCGCCGTAAACCCCCACACAAAGGCTGCCCGGCCACGGGGTCCCACGTCCGCCTTCCTGGGGACTTCGGCTTTTGAGGTGCTGCCGCGCCTTCTTTCTCCCTCCCCATCTCAGGGCGCCAGGGCCCAGACCAAAGAGCTAAGAGTGATCGAGACTTGGAATTACGGGGTGGAACTCTTTGGGGGCCGCCTGTCAGGACTCCTGGGCTGCAACCCCGAACCCAAAGACCCCCAGGGGAAGGGGGCCTCTTCCCATACCGCCACCTCCGCTGTCGCCTGCGGGAGGAGCACGGGGAACCCAGGCCAGCAGAGGGGGAAAGAGGGAGGGGAAAAAGGAAAAGGTCGGGGAGGGGCTGACCATATTAACAGAATTCTTTAAACGGACTTACCGGCCACCTGTTGAGAATTCCTCTGGGGTCGGCAGGCTCCGGAGTTGCGCAAGGTGGACACACAAAACCAAAAGCCAAAGTTGGAAAAAGAAAATTCTTTCTCTGACCATACCAGACGCGGCCGGTCAGGCTCGCAGCTCTGCGCTCGGATCGGGCGGCTCTACAGCCAAGACCGACTTTGCCCTGTCCCCGGATGCCCCCCTCATCCCACGCCTCCGTGGGACTCGGGACTCAGAGCTCACGGACTCGGCGCTCAGGGCCCAGCACCAGCATCTCGGCTTAAGCCGGGGCAGGCTCGCTAAGCCCTGCTCAGAAGTCAAGAGCAGCAGCACTGCCGCTCCTTGCGGCCTTTCATGCCGCGGCCGCTCCTTATTCTTGTGTCTCGGCCTCTCCCAGCCCCCTCGGACAAAACCCCCAGAGCCCGGCCACTCTCTTCCCTCTAAATCCCCTTCGGGGTCAGTGCTCTACCAGCACTGGGCCGCGCGCCTCTCCTGCCAGCCGTGTGGCTCTTAAAGAGCCGCACCCCTCCTCCGCCCTGCGCGATCCCCCGACCCCCGCCTCCCCTCCCCCCTCCTCCCGATCTAGCCCCCCACGCCGACGCCTGAGGTCCCTGCTGCCCCGACCGTTGCCTGCGGACTCCCAGCCCCCTCCCCTCGCCTCCTCCCCTGAGCAGCCTGTGGGCCTGGCCTCGAGGCCACAGGGCTGAGTTCTACCCTCGCCTCAGGTCCCCTTTCTCACCAGCAGTGCCCACCCCTCCCTTCCCTGTCTTTACTTTAGCCCTCTAGGTGGATCAAGGCCCGGGCACCGCCTTTGCCCAGCTCAGAGGTGATGCCTAAAGATTGCCAGTTTCGGGTTGAGTTAGGGGTTATGGGATGGGAAATGGGGCAGGGCATGCTAGTGGAGCTAGGGAGAGAGAAAGGAAGAGAAGCAAACCAGATGGACTTGGAGGGCTCTCTCAATCCCAGGGCCTACTTGGCCTTTTGGCTCCTTCCCACGACCTCCCAGAGATGCTTACCCTGGAATGGGGTCCTGAGGTTACCAGCCTGACTAGGCCCACTGTGTGTCTCAGGGATTCTGGGCGTGTGTGTTGGCGGGTGGGGTCCAGAAAGTCCTGAATGTGGATCTGGCAGTAGCCTGCTTCCCAAGCCCATAGCATCAATTCCCCCCAAAAGTAACCCTTAAGGGCCAAAGAGCTGGGTATGCAAGGAGAGAGTGAGGGACCTTGAGCTCCAACCGTCCAGGGAAAAGGGCATCTGAGGACTGAAGCTGTTTCTAAGAGGGTGTCTTATATTTACTGGCCAGCCATGTCAGCTGCCCCACTAAGAAAAGGTGAAGCAGATGACTGCTTTGGTTTCCCTTCCTTCCAGAACTCTGGCTTCTGCCTCTCTGCCGGGCTGCCAGGCCAGTCTTGCAGGGTGGTCCTGCCTACAGCACTTCTTCAGGCCTCCCAGGGACTAGAAGCCAAAGAAGGGATCCCTCTGCTGAGGGGGGAATGCAGGACAGGTTGTGGTCCCTGCCTTCCCTACTACCACCTGTCATAACCTGTGCCTGGGCTCTGTGGATAGTGGAGGCAATGATGGGTTAGGGAGGGGAGCTGCCCACCCTTTCTCAAATCCAAGTCCTGGCACACCAGGTCTGGCTGTTCAGAAGGGGATCCTTGGGAAGAAGTGTGTGGCCTCTGGGCAGAGGAAACCAAGGGAACTTGAGGTGACAGGAGGATGGAAGGCTGATCCTCAGCCACCCCAGCATTAGTCCAGATTCACCTTTAAGGAACTGGAGTGACTAATTGATTTGCAATTGGTCCTCTTGGGAGAGGTTGGCAGTGCACTCCCTGGGCTGGATCCTGAGGCAGCAAAAGCCTCTCCCTCCACCGCCACCGCCCCCCCCCCCCACCAGTCTGGCTCACATCTCCCAAGTCTCCAGCCCCTCTCTTGGGGCTGGGTCACCGAAGGCAGCTAGGCTGGGTTTGTGCCCACCCTCCTGGGTCTGGCAGTGGGAGGTGCTGTGGTTCAAGACAGAGCCAAACTTCCCTTGTTTGAGAATGTGGGGGGTGGAGGGGCCTTTAGCGGGCGGCGGGGCTCATTAGGCAGAGCAGGGTGCCGAGAGGTGCGCGCCTGCGGCCCCTGAGGCCGTCTTTGAGCCGTCGGGGCGGCTTCATTAAGCTGCGCTAACAAGGCGTACAAATGCCGGGCCCAGCAGCTTTCTTGCAATGCCCGGCCTTAGCAGGGCGCCGGACTAATGAGGGTCACTCAAAGGGGCTGATCAAATATTCAAATTTCCCCGCACGCCAGGAACTTTTATGCAGGGAGAAAGTTGAGGCAACTGAGCTGTGTTTACTGTCCAGGGCGACAATTGCTTGGAGCGCCAGTCCCCGGAGGCTAAGGCGGGGGGCGGGGGTACGGGGAGAGAGCAGTTGTTGTTGTTGTTTTTCAAAGGAAAGTAATCGGGGTCCTTGAAGGGTTTCGCGGCCTCCCCGCCTGCATGCTGCGCTCCCCTGCGCCCTCCCTGGCCGCCTGAGCCAAGCACCTCAGTTTGCAGCTTGCGGGGAGGCCCAGACTGTGGGCCACCCGGCCAGCCCCCGCCTCCGGACGTCCTGGGAGCCGGAAGGGGCGTTGCCCCCACACGGCAAACCTTCCCCGGGCCTCTTGGGTCTGCAGTTTAGAGCCGAGCGAGGCCAAGTAGGTGCAGCTGCCCCAGCCCTTCGGATCCTCCTCTCCCGGAGGCCTGCAGACCGGTTGGCTTTCCCTGTAACCCAAAACAAGAAAAGAGTGGGAGATCTCTCTGGCTTTCTCCAGATGTGGTTGAGACTTTCCCAATGCTGGGGTTGCAGCTGACATTTGTAAATAAATGTCTTGTGGGTCCGGATGCAAGGAGAATACTCTCTAAACCCCAAAGACGTCTCTTCTCCCTGCCCCACCTGAAGGAGATCTTTTCGGTCTCTGGGGCCAGGATTGAAGTGGGGACGATGGCAGCGAATTTGTTCTGCACAGGTGACTCGGCCTGTACTGGCACCAAGTCCCAGATCCCGCAGTCACGGCGGCCAGAGAGCAGAGACCTAGGGGCTCTGCAAACTGACCTATCCACTCGAGTCTCTCTGTTCTGAGCGACTCAGAGTGCAGGCGCCCTCCGCGCGCCACCTCCTCTAGCAGTCCCCCCAGGGTCCCTTCCCAGTCCTCTCAATGGACTTGATTGGTTCCCAGAAAAGCGAGGAAGGCGACCTGGGCCCTGGAACCCAAGGTCCCTGAGCTCCTGCTCTCCTCCCCAGTGCCCAGCGCCTGGGAATTTGAGAGGGGAAGCTCTGGTGCTCCACAGCCCTGCTTGCTACCCAAACACACACTCAGAACCCCTCGACTGAGACCCTACGGAGCCTGCGCCCCTAGCCCGACCAGGAGCCAGTCCGGCCCTCCGCGCTGGGACCAGCCGCCCCGCCTCCCTGTCCTGCTCTCGGTTCTCTCAACTTACCGGCTCCAGGCGGTGGAAGTAGATCTTCAGTCCAGAGCCGAGAGGCGCTAGCGACGGCTGGACTGCGAGGTGGGCTCGGTGGGCGGCGCCGAGCTCGGCTCTTCTGGAAGGCTTGGACAGCCGGGGGCTGCCACCCGCCCCACCCGGTCCCGGCGCACAAAGCTGCACGCCTCGCCGCAGCTCTGTGCCCTACTTCGCGCTCCGGAGCCTCGGCCGCCACCCGAGCAGGCAGGGTGTAGCAGGGTGGCTGGCGCTGGGGCAGAGGCTGGGAGGTGGGGGTGTCGCCAGAGTCTCAGCCCCACTTGCCTCAGTTCTCCCTGAGTGGCGATGGTTTTTGATTTCAGCGCTTTCGGCAGAGCCCGCAGCACCTGCGCAGCCTCCCTCCGGGGATGGGCCGGCAGCGGCTGGGAGAGGCCAGGTCGCCCCCACCCGGAGGCGGGGGTTGCGGGGATGGGGAGGGGACTGACCGGGTTCACCCGCCCGCCCGGCGCCTGGGTCCTCCGCTCCGGGGGATGCAGTTTCGGGGTCACGAGCTGCTTTCAAAAAGTTGAACACAATATTCGGAAACCCACCCGTAGGAATTCTCCCCCCACACGCGGTACAATACCCACTCCCCTCCCCTTTTTCATTCCTTCCTCCCCCGCTTCCTCCTCCTGCCCCTTCCCCCTCCCACCCTTCAGCCTATAATCCTTCCCCTACGAGAGAAAGGGATCGGGAAGAGAACGTGAAGTGTCTGTTTTTGTGTCCCAACCTTTGGGCTCTTTCTGGGCCCTTAGTGACCGACCACCCAGAGCTTCTCAGCTGAGTGGCGGACTCACGGCCAGGAGGGAAGGAAATATATATGGAGTGGAGAGAGCACTCAAATGGGGCTGGGCAGATCTTCCCTTTGGAGGAATATTTTTCTGTTCCAGTCGTCGCGTTTGAGATCTGCTACCCCACGGCTGCCTCTGGCCAAGTGAGCCAGTGTGGGCCCTTCGCCAGATCCAGAGACTCCCTGCCACCCCGAAGCCTCCGAGGAGACTTGCACTTCCCGGCTTGCTCTTCTCCCCGGCCCTCAGAGGCCTGGCACTGCGGGAGTCAGGCCTAAGCAGGGCTCCGGCTCAGGGTTTAGGGGCTGGGACACTCGTAGCCCCAGTCACGTTGGGTTTCCCATTTAAATTCTCTCTCAACCTCTCTTTCTCTTTCCTCATTGAGATCACCAAAGTGGTGTAGACCCGGCGCCTTGCCCCCAGATCTGCATCGGAATGCAGAAAAGATCTTTAAAAAAAAAAAAAAAAAAAAAAAAGAGTTTTGAATTCCTCAATGATTTTTCTTCTGGAAAGGCAGCTTAGGATAATTATTTCAGCTTTATTGAGGGCAGATTAGTTGAAGTCTGGGCGCTGCGTTTCAATACGCGTTGTACACGGGCCGACAATGTGGTCATTGTTGGCTACTGTGTGTGAATCCATTCAACATATACACTTTTTAACACCAAACCAAGTCCTGTCTAAATATACACAGTGCTCAGGGAAAGACGTCTCTGACCCCGACAAATCTGCGTAAATCACACTTCCATAGTTACAGAAGCCTCACAAAGGGAGGCCGGCTCAAGATGCTGATTACATCTTCTTAAAAGCAACATACCTAAGAATAAATACCCACGCCTGGCCTGGGGGCTGTGGTAGCCAGAGGCAGAGAGGGCCCTCTGTGTTCTATGGGCCTTTTGGGGTCTGTTTTAGGCTTTCGATGTTACTTTCTCTAGAGAAATTAGACAGTTTTAGAATAATAATAGTAATTATTATTATTTTACAATACGAGCAAACAAGCAATTTTCAGGCGTTATCCACTTCATCTGGGTGGCTGGCCTCCAAAGTTTGAGTGCCCTCTGGGGCTGACAGGCAGGACCAGAGCTCCTTCTGTTGTGTGGTGAGGAATGGGCATCTGTGGGGCTTTTCCAGGTTCAGAGGGCTCTTGAGCTTCTTCGCTCCCGCAGCTCCTCCAGCACTCCTCAGAGAGGCAGCTGAATTCTGGGAGGAAACAAAGAGTTGAGTTGCTTCTTAAGATGGAAAGAAGTGTACTGTTTGGACTGTTATTTTAAAATACAGGGTGGTGGGGGCAATCCAGGCTTCTTGGCTGGAGAGGGAGTAAAGAGAAACCTAACTGATGAGGAGGGAGTTGAGGTGAATTTGGTCCATGGGCACAGATGGGTGAGGCAAGAGCGGCCTCCAGCACCCTGGGAACTGGGCTCAGGCTGCCTGGCGCCAGATGCCCCCGGAGTCCGGGATCCCTGGCTGGCGCCAAGGCCCGCTGGGCCAAGGTCGGTGTTTGGTGGGCCCCATGATCTCATCTCCCCTTTCTTCCTTGCCACTATTAGTGCTCACATAGGCAGAAAGAGGAGGCCCGACGTGCACACCATGTGCAAACCGTGCCCGCTGGGCTGGTCAGCCTTCTCTCCTTGCCTGCCGACCTGGCCTATGTGAAGCCTGGGAGACCCTCTTGCCTCCCAACAAAATCCCCGCTCTAATTGCACATCCCATTCAACAATTCTGTACCCAGGGCTTTTCGAATTTCTGGATCAACTTCTTTCAGGAAAAGGGAAGAAGAAGGCTCAGAGACAGCGGTAGAGAAAAGGGAAGAGAGAGGGAGAAGAGAAAAAAGAGAGAGGAGGGGGAAGTAGCGAGATTAAGAGTTGCAAAGATTGAAAAAAAAAATTCTCTTCATTCCCCCCCCTTCTCCCTCCTTCCCCGCTCTCTCCCTCCCCCCGCCCTCTGGCTAAGTGGTAAAACCGTCCTTACGTTCTCGGTATTGATTGGCAGGGCTGACAGTGATTGGCAGTGGTTGCCGTGGCAACGCCACAACGACACGCCACAGACCAATAGAAAAGCGAAACAAAATGTTTCAATGCTGCACTCACTGTGGATTTAGGGGAGATATTATGAGGCTGTTGTCATTAGGGCGATTGCGGTGGAATCGCTGAATCTTGACTCGGCGGTGGTTGGCTCTCCCTCTCCTCTCTCCCTCTCCCTCTCTGTCTCTGGTTCTCTCTCTGCGCGCGCGCACCGGGCTGCTCTCCTTCCTCCCTCTCTATGTGGCTGCGCGGGTGTGTGTGTGTGTGGATGTGTGTGGGGTGTGGGTGTCCCTTACGCCCTTCCTCCTCCCCCTCCTCCTCCTCCTGCTCCCCCCTCCTTTCCTTCTCCTCCTCCTCCCTCTCCTCTCCCTCCTCCTGGTCCTCATCGCCCCTCTCCTCCTCTTCCTCCCCTCTCTCTTCCTCTCCCTGAATTTTCTCCTCTTCTCTCAGGTCAGTCCATGGTATTCCGCTCCCCCCTAGACCTCTATTCCTCCCACTTCTTGTTGCCAAACTTCGCCGATTCTCACCACCGCTCCATACTTCTGGCGAGTAGCGGCGGCGGGAACTGTGCGGGAGGCGGCGGCGGCGCGGGAGGCGGCAGCGGCGGCGGGAACGTTGCGGGAGGCGGCGGTGCTGGCGGAGCAGGCGGCAGCGGCGGCGGCTCCAGGGCCCCCCCGGAAGAGTTGTCCATGTTCCAGCTGCCCACCCTCAACTTCTCGCCGGAGCAGGTGGCCAGCGTCTGTGAGACGCTGGAGGAGACGGGCGACATCGAGCGGCTGGGCCGCTTCCTTTGGTCGCTGCCCGTGGCCCCCGGGGCGTGCGAGGCCATCAACAAACACGAGTCGATCCTGCGCGCGCGCGCCGTGGTCGCCTTCCACACGGGCAACTTTCGCGACCTCTACCACATCTTGGAGAACCACAAGTTCACCAAGGAGTCTCACGGCAAGCTGCAGGCCATGTGGCTCGAGGCGCACTACCAGGAGGCCGAGAAGCTGCGCGGCCGCCCACTCGGCCCGGTGGACAAGTACCGCGTGCGCAAGAAGTTCCCGCTGCCGCGCACCATCTGGGACGGCGAGCAGAAGACGCATTGCTTCAAGGAGCGGACTCGGAGCCTGCTGCGGGAGTGGTACCTGCAGGACCCCTACCCCAACCCCAGCAAGAAACGCGAACTGGCGCAGGCCACCGGCCTCACTCCCACACAAGTAGGCAACTGGTTTAAGAATCGGCGGCAGCGCGACCGCGCCGCGGCGGCCAAGAACAGGTTAGTGGCGGGGCCCGCGGCCTGGCTACAGCCTCAGAGGCCGGGGAAGGGGAGAGGGGTTGAGATGGGGCTAGCGGAGCGGCCGCTGAGAGCCAGAGAAGCCGTGACTCCCGGCCAGTTGGAGAAAGTTTCCGCTTGCCCGGGACGCGCGGAAGAGGGGGCGGGCAGGCTGTGGGTGTATTGGTTGCTTTGCCCAACAGGGGCTTTCGTCAGGGCGGAGAGTGTGTGCCTGCGACCCGAGTGCCCGCAGCCCCTGATCCAGGCCCCTGGGAGCCTTCGCCCTGAGCGGCACCCGTGCCTGCCTCCTCAGCCCTGCTGCCAGCTAGGCGATCCTCTGGAGCCTAGAGACAGGGAGGGAAGGAAAGCACTCCTTGACATCTGGTTCTTATTTCTGTGCATTGCAAAACCCCGAGAGAAATCCACGAGCATCAGGGAGAGGAAAGTGAGTCTGGGTCCGTATCACAAGGGAAAAAAGACGAAGGCCACTGCGCAGCGGGCCTCTTCCTCCCCCCACCCTCCACAATGCTGCACGTAGCCTGATCTGGAGCTGGAGAGCCGGGCTGGAGTGGAGAGGCCTAGTGTGTGTGCGTGTGCTTGTGTGCGCGCGTGTGCATGTACTGGCCCTCCTACCCCAGCCGAGGAGAATCCCTTTGGTCCTCTAAGTTGGGAAGAGGGCAGGAGCAGCCTCCCTGCCAGCAAGTTGGCCACAAAGTCACAAAGTTGTGTAGGGCTTGACCATCACAGGAGCTGGGCCTGGGGGAAGGAGAAGAACCAGAGGGAAAGAAGGGGATAGAGGAAAGGATTGGGGAGAGAAGGGAGAAGGAAGAGAGGAAGCTGGGTGAAAGCCCTGGTGTGGAGCCTGTGTCTCTATCCAGCCAGGAAGGCCCAGGGCCTGGTGTACCTCAGGGAGCAGGGCCCCCAGCTGCTGACAGCTGCCCGTGGGTGGGGCCGGGTGTGAGTTTCTGGAGGTGTGTTTGAGTTTAGGCGGCCCAGACCTGAGCCCATGGCTCTCTCACCCCTGCCTTGGAACTCACTTTTCGTCTGATGAGGGAAGCGCCCAGGGTCAAGCCAAGGCCTCCTTCTGGAGAGCATTCCAGACACCAGGTCAAGGCAGAAGGTTCCCGGTGAGGGAAAGGGCAGCTGGAGACTGCTCAATGCTCCTCGCTTGCCTTCTCCTTTGCCCCTTTTCTGTCTCCCTGCCTTCCCCACTTTTCCGCCGCCAGCTTTCCTATTTTCTCTACCCCCGGTCCTGCGCTCTGCGCTGGGATCTGGAGAGCAAAGCCTGCGGTTCTACCCGGAGACCGGCCGGGCAGTGAGGAACCCGCAGCTTCGGGTGTGTGTTTGAGGGAGCAGAGACAGGGTTACTGAGGGAACTCTACCCGTCCCAGGCCAGCCGGCTCAGTCTGAAGAGCCCCAGGGACTGTGGAGGGAAGAAGCGCCCGGTTTCTCTCCGATTTCTGCTTCTCCAGGGCTTGGCGTACTTTGCCGCTGACACCCAGGCCTCTCCAGGCGGCCGGCCTCGGGTTCTGGCTCTCCTCCGAGGCCAGCCACTGTCTGAGAAGCCTTGAGATGCTCCCGAAAGCAGAGTCCGGAGCGGCGGCGCGGGGAACGGGTGGCGGGCAGCTGTATCAGGGCGGGCGCGGCTCTCTTTCTCCCGCAGGCTCCAGCACCAGGCCATTGGACCGAGCGGCATGCGCTCGCTGGCGGAGCCCGGGTGCCCCACGCACGGCTCGGCAGAGTCGCCGTCCACGGCGGCCAGCCCGACCACCAGTGTGTCCAGCCTGACGGAGCGCGCGGACACCGGCACCTCCATCCTCTCGGTAACCTCCAGCGATTCGGAATGTGATGTATGATAGCCAAGGCCGCCCTCCTCCCCCTCCTTCCCCTCCTCCCCCACTCCTTCCCCTCCGCCTCCTAGCCCTCCTCCTCTTCCTCCTCCATCCCCAGAACAAACCGAAATCAGGATACACAACCATACACACATACAAGTCCACACACACTCCCACCCCAGCCAAAAAATATATATTAAAAAAAAAAAAAAAAAAAAAAACAAGAAAACAAATTAACCTCAAACTATCAACAACCCCCAACCACCATCTACCACTACGGCCACCCCAAAGGACCCCGACGCCAACAGACAGTCAAACGCTGATGTTGCGGGCAGAAAACCTAAAAGAGGTGACAATTGTATACTTTCTAGGACAAGCACGGCTTCTCCTTTCGGTTCCCATGGACCCGGCACCCCACCTGCATGACGATTTATTTGTATCTGGGAAAATATTCTCTCTAGTTAAAAATGATTTAAAGAGTCGACTATACAAAAACCAATCACCACCACGAGGACAAGAGGACAAAAGCAAAACAGACAAAAAGAAAAAAAAATAAAATCGCCATCTCCGTTCCGAATTTGTTTATAAGAAAAAAAGACAGGGGGAAAAAAAAGAACTCCTGGAGAGGGAAATAGCAAATGTTTCTCGCCTTTTGTTGCTCTCTCTCTCTTTTTTTTTTCTCTCACTCTCTTTCTTTCACTTCTTCTCTCTGTTTTTAAGTCCAAGTATTGGTCAAACAAAATGCAATCTTCTGTTTTTTGTTCAGCAGACAATCATTTTCTTCGTAAGCACCTTTTTCTCTCCACTCTGTCACTGCCTGTGTGGGTACTGGTTATAAATGTGGAAAAAGAATAGTTATGACTGTAACAGATTTTTATTTTTATTTCAAAATTTTATATGAATTATGTATATCTTAATGATTGGTCATTTTCCCAGTTTGTAATATATGTGTAGAAATTGCCTGTATATGATATTGCTTTTTCTCCTCTCCCTTTCTCTTTCTCTCCTCTCCCTCTCTCTTTCTTCCTTCCCATTCACCTGTCTCTTTTCTTTTTGGGGTTCTCCTCCCACTCGGTGCTCCTGGCGTCGACTTGGCAGTCAAGGAGAGGCTTGGTGGCCTGGGTTAGGAAGAAGGATCCCGTTGCTAGCGAAAGCGGAGAGTGAGATTGTAGTATTCTTATGCAAAAGCTATTTCCAGTATTTCTTAGCAGCTTCAGAGGTATCTCTCACTTCCTGTAGGGCGCTTTTACTGTTATCTTAAACTGCGTGTTTATCTATATGTAAAAACTTTCTAAAGCAAATACAGTATTCTCCATTTTCTTATCACTTCCAGAGACTGGTGTTTTTGTCCGCACCTGGCCGGCAGCCTTGCGGTGCTCGGCCTTCGCTTCCACTCTTGCTCACCTGAGCCGGGGCAGAATTTCAAGGCTGGGTCTGAGCTTTTTTTTTTTTTTTTTTTCTTATTCCCCAAAGGGCATTGGGAAGACCAGAACAGGCCCTTCAGAAAAGAGCCAAAGCTGGATCCTGAGCAAACAGGCAAAGAGGGTGCAAGGGTTGGGAGCAGGAGGCTACCGCCAGTTTCTTCGAAGTGAGCTGCCAGGCTCTCTTCACCGCAGTGCATATTCAGCCGGAATTGTAACCTGCCAAGACCCTGTGGGTCCTTGGGGTGTGCTGGGTGTCTTTCAGTTGTTGTTGCTTTGTTTTTTAAAAGGAGAAACATACAAGGTCGCCAAACCCCAGCATCCATCCCGAGTGGAGCTGACAGGTTTTGGTCTTGTTTTTTGGGGGATGGGGGGTGGGGGACAGTGACCTGAGTGAGGAAGGCGGGGGAGTGAGGGAGGAGGTCGCTTGCAGAGTTTAGGGCCTAGAATCAGGATGGACTCCCCTCCTCACCTCTGAGTGTGTGTCTGTGTGACAGTGTGACTTGCCTTATGGCTCTCGATCTGTCTCCCTGAAATTTCTTCCCATCTTTGGGGTTCAGCTGGAGTCTCTTGAGCCCCTAAGACATTTCAGAGTTGGTTTATACTTTAAAATGAAAACCAAAAAAATCACCGCCTCTTGCTAACTATGTTCCCACTGGTCCCAAACCTCCACGCCCCGGGCGGGGCCCCCACAATTCCCTGGGACAGCTTGGCTGGTGATGTCTCTGTCGCTCTGGGCCAGGGTGGCCTGCACCCAAGGAGGAGCAAAAGAGGTAATTTCAGAAAACTTGCCTTTACTTGAAAGTCCAATTTCCAAAGAATGGAGGATTAGGGAGAAACGTGCTTGGAATTTTGCATCCATTTCCAAACTAATTTTGACTTCCGATTTCCTTTTGTTGCCATCCCCAGCAGCGCCAGGGGGTTTAGGAGGGCCAGGCTGGGCAGAGACGCTAACCCAGAGGTGCCCTGAGTGCTCCAGTGGGACCTTGCATGTCCGGGGCGAGCATTTGCAAGACAGGGAAGGTTCCTGAGTGTGTCCCTGCTTAGAACCAGAGCATCCAGCCGACCTCCCAAGCTCCCAAGTTTTGTGGCTTGGCACACTGTGTCAGAATCTTTGTGTGTGTTCACTGCTTGAGAAAATGTTCCTTGGGCTGCCACATTTCAGGCAATATTGACCCAGGTGGTAGGAATTTGGGAAAGGGGCTGCCTGGATTCTACCCAGCTTGAGCCTCTGTTCTGGGATGAGGAACTCTGTTACCCACCCTTGCTTTTAGATAGTCACATACTTGACACAGAGCTTGGGCCTGGAAGCCCAAAGAAGTGCCTGCCTCAGTGTGGAGAGTCTGGATGGACCCTGCTCAGCCAACTGACCAGAGCTGATGGATGAAAGGCAAGGAATGGCACTGCTGGAGGTGACTGCTGGAAGGACCTGCCTAGGCAGAGCACATCAGGGAGCAGGTGCCTTTTTGTCTGGGGGACAGAAGACAAACCTGAAAGTTAAAATGATTTCCTATCTCAACACACGGTGCAGAGAAAGCAGATTTAGGCCATCCAGTGCCCTCTCCTTCTGTATTGCAGAAAACCATCTATCAGACTCCACAGCAGCCTTTAGCTTTGGAGAGCCTGGGCCTTACTGGGTATCAGCAGCCTGTTTTATCTGTCTATCCTTCTATCTATTATGTGTCACTCTCTCATATCCCATGTTTCCATCCAGGGCTGCATGAATACCAATACTCTATGTTTTATGCTTTCTGACCTTACATATAGGTTCCCTGTAGGAAGGACATGTGTGTTGTCGGTGTGTATGTGTGGAATTCTGGATGCTGAGCTTTCAACACTCAGTCAAGGTCTGCATAGAAAAGGATGTGTGTGTGTGTGTGTGTGTGTGTGTGTGTGATATAAATGTGTGTACAGTGCATTGGTGTGTGTGTCCAGTATTTTTCATGTGTATTGCATAGCATAGGTATTTCTTTGTAGCTTAGGCAGTTTCTTTGTACTTAGTTCTGCAAGGAGTGCATTTTTGGGGGCTCCAATACACCTACAGGGTACATAGGCATGTGTCTTGTGGGTCTTGGTTCTAGTGTAGACAAGTCTGGGTTCCCTTGTTCTAGGCAGTCCCTAGATAGGACTGCCAGGCTGCCCACCTCTAACGGGTCTTCCTGTCCCTTTAAGACACAAGGGTTCTCAATGGGTATTCATTGGCTGGAGGGCAGAGGGGGACTGGGCTCTTTGGCTTTCCCAGTTCACCCTTTATTCTGTTTGATTTACTGGGGATATTATGGTTGATTTGGCCTCTGTCCCTTTAAACATCAGAGTGAGAGAATAGAGGCCCCTTTCTGGCCAGATCTTGCCTTTTACCAGCTGCTGGCCTAATCTCTTTCTGGGTCCCTCAAAGCCCTGGCCAGGGCAGTCAACACCCTGCAAGCCCCTCAGACAGAGCTTGAGGGCGAGGCCAGGCTGAAGTTCCACCTGCAGGAAAGCCCTCTCAGTCACTGTGCACAGCCCCCACCGCCTGGGAATGTTGCAGGTTGTGCCCCGGCCAGGAGAATGTGTGCATTGGTGTGTGCTCTCTCATGGGCCTTGTGAACCTGGGTCAGGCCCAATATGCAGGCCTAAGTGCTAACCATCTGTCCCCTCTGTCTGGGCCATGCACCAGCCAGTGGGCTGGCTCCTCTGCTTCTAGCCTTCCAGTGAGCCGCACCCACCACACAGCGCACTTCTGCCTGGCATCCCAGAGGAGTGCTCTGCCTTGGAGCCTTCCCTGTGTGCTGAGGCCTCCTGTGTACCTGAGCCACCTTCCCTAAGTTTTTAGAGGCTTGAGGAATAATAGCCAACTTGGCTATTTTCTCAAAGAAGAATAATGGCAATCCAGGATTTGCATCGGAAACCTGAACTGGGCAAATCTGTATCAAAGCCATCAACTCCTAGAAGTCCTGCCTGAGGGAAGAGGCCTGTCTCCCCTTCTGGCCTCCTCACTCTCCTCCCACCCAGCCCTCTTCCCTCCCTGCCCCCAGCCCTGGCTCTGAGCGCCCACCTTGCCTCTCTTCTTGCCCTCCTTGAATCCTGTGGAATCGACTGCCCAGTGCCAGTGCGGCTGATTATCCCGGGCGAGACACACAACTGATTAAAATGAAATGACCCGGAAGCTGCCACGGTGCGGGGCAGAGAGGCCGATCAATAGTGGGACTGGAGGCACAGGAGCCTGGCCAGTCCGGGCTGGGAATGGGGTTGAAGAAGGAGGGCCCAGCCTGGGGGGGTGCCTGGGACTTTGGGCGTGGAGCTGGTTCAGTGAGGCAGTGGGAAGGCCCGGGCCTGGGCTTGCTGAGGGGGCTGTGATGGTGGAGGGGCCCCCAGGTTCTTCTGCAAGGAGAATGGGACACCTGGTACATTCTCGACCCAGCGCATCACTTGGACCCCCGGAGCTCGAAGTCTAGTTCCCGGCCTGTGGCGCACTGGAGGCCTTCGGAGCAGTCTCCACTCCCTCTCTTCCTCTGCCTTTGTGGCCCTGTCGGTCCTGCCTAAGCCTTTGTGTGGCCGTCACCTGGAGCACCGGCTGTGCCGCAAGAGCTTTCCCGGGCCCTCCCCCTGTCCTATCTGTGCCCCAGCGCTGGGGCTGAGATGCCTGGCCTGCCAGGACGCTCCAGTCCCTGCTGTGCGAGCTGAGGCCCCATCGGCTTCCCACCGCTCCGGCCTTTTCCGGCCCCAGATGAGCTGAGTCTCCCTGGCCCCAGTGTGCGGGCCTCGGTGGCCGTCGAGGCCAAGGGAGGGCGGGGGCAGGCGAGAGGGAGCCATGGAGGAGGGGAGCAGTACTAGCCCGGCTCCGATTTCTCCGGTCAGCTGAGCACAACTTTCCATTCGAGTGTATTCATGCAGCGGCTGATTGAGCTCCACTGTGCCGGGCGGGGCTCGGCGGGAGGGGGCAGGCACAGCCGGGCTGACAGAGGCTGCACACACACACACACACATACACACGTATGCGCATTAATCTCATCTACATAAACATGCCCTCCCATGTTATATCACACTTCACCTCCAGCCATGCCATCAGAAACGCAGCCGAGCCCCTTCCCTCACGCACCTACCTGCCCCCAGAGTGTTTCCCAGCACTCATAGACCTGCTTCTCTACACCACATAAGGCCTGCCTCTCTGATTTTCCCCTTATGAATTCTACACTGGTCCTCAGATACAAACACAAGAATCCTTCATCTGCCTCTCCTGCAGGCACACTCTCCAGGATGCACACACTCCAAATCTGCACAGACACACGCACAAAATGCCCAGACTCACAATCGCACCCTCCTACAGAGCTACCCAGATTCACACGATAGAAACACACATCTGCATTAGACGGCATTAGCACCAATAGACATTTAGTGCACAGCCTGGTGTACATACACAGTGTGCTGAGCTCACCAAAAGTTTGCACACAAGAAAGGGAGCAAATGAACAATAAATCCTGCCAGAGAGCAGCCACTACACAGTCACCACCACAAACACGCAGAGGAAACCTTCAGGCACACACACATACCTGTGAGCCAACCCAAAGACATGAGACATGCCACCGAGAGCATGTCAGCCTCTAAACCACAGAGCTTGACTCTAGGGACTCAGAGACCACCCATTCATTGCCCAGCCTCACCTACTCCCAGGCCAATGGAGGTTATACCCGTGCACCCCAAAGAAGACAGGTAGGGAACTAGATAAGCACCTTGAGAGAAGCCTGCCTGCTGTTGGGAGTGAGCAGGTAAACCGAGGCCTCTGTGTTACAATCCACCCCTAAATGCCCATGGTATGCTGTTTTGCAGAGCAAGAAGGGAGAGTGAAGAAGTGGGAGATAAATTATAGAGTGGGAATAATAGCACAAGGAAAAGGGAGAGAAAGGAGAGGGGAGTTGAAACAAAAAG